TGGTCTCCAACTGGATATTGAGCCGTTGACCTTTGCGGCACCTCTTTGCGTGCAGCCATCCAGCCAGTTCTTTATCCAGAGTGCTCCATCCATCAAATTGATGTCTTTCCAATTTAGAGACAAGGATGCTGTATGGGACAGTGTTGAATGCTTTGCACAAGTCCAGGTAGATGATGTCAGCTGCTCTGCCGCTGTCCATCAGTCCTGTAGCCCCATCATAGAAGGCCACCCACTTGGTCAGGCAGGACTTCCCCTTAGTGAAAGCATGCTGGCTGTCACCAACCACCTCGTTGTTTTTCATGTGCCTTAGTTTGCTTTACAGGAGAATCTTCTCCAAGATTTTGCCAGGCACAGAGGTGAGACTGACTGGTCTGTAGTTCCCCGGGTCTTCCACCTTCCCCTTCTTGAAAACGGGGGTTATATTGCCCTTCTTCCAGTCATCAGGAACTTCACCTGACTGCCACGATTTGAAAAAATAGGATGGACAGTGGCTTAGCAGCTTCATTCGCCAGCTCCTTCAGGACCCACGGGTGGATTTCATCAGGTCCCATGGACTTGTGCACGTTCAGGTTCTTAAGATGGTCTCGAACCTGATCCTCTCCTACAGTGGGCCTAAGGTCTTCATTCTCACAGTCCCTGCATTTGCCTTCCAAGACTTGGGTGTTAGTTCATTATAAATAGTTTTTCTGTCAATCTTCGACATCTAATAGCTTTCAGCAGCTTCTTTAAATACAGTGTTGGTATATTGATGAGTCTTCTTTTATTACTCTTCTCCCCCATGAATGGATTAATAGTATGGTTACCCACCTGAAACCACCTATCCTGGTATCTGTTAGAGGTATATTTGATCCGAAGAAGACTATAAGATCTGCTTCAGAATAAGGTTATTGTCATGCTTGCTGAATGAAGTGAAAACTGGCATTTAGCAAGATAGTGTAGACCATATGTAAGTGTTTAAATGATTGGGACAAAGAACATTTAAATAGGTCTGTATAAAGCAAACCTTCTTCGAGAACTTTTCTGCTTCTCAGTGTTGTATGTTGGCCAGTTTTTGCCAGTGTGCAAAGACAGAGTAACCTTTTCATGTGAGGGAAAACGGTCCTCCTTCCAAACTAACTAAATGACCATAAAATACAGAGCTAAGCTTGAATTTTCTGGGGTTTTATGATGAACTTTAGACATGGTAACAGCACTGCGTGTCTGAGACAAGTAGTATCTGAGAAGGATATTTTGAGTGATCAGCGGTGCTTCTGAATTTCAAAGGGATTACATAGGATGTATCACCATTTCTAAGGACTTGACTGCTAATAGCAATCTGCAGATAATGCTACCAAGTCTTCTCTCAAAAAATGGAAGCCGCTGTAATTACATTGCCAGACAAAATTTATGTTAGATCATTTGAATATTTGGCTTTTACTGGATGTGATTAATACCTATGTTTGTAAAAATACTAGCTGGCAAACTGTTGTCTGTTGACGTTGCTTCATCAGTGGCCAAACACACATTGGTTATTTAGGAAGAAAGTGTTTCATATACAGTAGCAGCACTGGTGATTGATTTTCACAGTCTTCAGAAAATAAAACAAAACCAAAACCACATTTTCTCACCATCATCCCTTCCATTTTCTTCCAGGCCTGCTAGAGACACAGCTGAGCAGACATGATCAGATGCTGAGTGTTCATGATATCCGGCTGGCTGACATGGATCTCCGATTCCAAGTTTTAGAAACTGCCAGTTACAACGGAGTATTAATTTGGAAAATTCGAGATTATAAACGTCGGAAGCAAGAGGCAGTCATGGGGAAGACCCTGTCCTTGTACAGCCAACCCTTTTATACTGGATACTTTGGCTACAAGATGTGTGCCAGAGTTTACCTTAATGGAGATGGCATGGGAAAGGGGACGCACCTGTCGCTGTTTTTTGTCATAATGCGTGGAGAATATGATGCGTTGCTTCCTTGGCCATTTAAACAGAAAGTGACTCTCATGCTGATGGATCAGGGACCGTCTCGACGTCACTTAGGAGATGCTTTCAAGCCAGATCCAAACAGCAGCAGTTTCAAGAAGCCAACTGGAGAAATGAACATTGCATCCGGCTGCCCAGTCTTTGTGGCTCAAACTGTTCTAGAGAATGGAACGTATATTAAAGATGATACTATTTTTATTAAAGTCATAGTGGATACATCGGATCTACCAGACCCCTGACATATGATGGGGGAGGCAGATTAAACAGAAGACAACTCCGTTTGGGGGTTTTATATCAGTTTGTCTTCAATCAGAGGTCCTAAAGCTCACAGAACCACCTTGTGGAACAGATGGAAGAGTTTGAAGGCATAACTGCATAGGGTCCAATTGCGAAAGTAGCAACACATTAAGAAATCATACCATGGTATATTTTTTAATAGAACTAGCAACACTTAAGCTCTGAAGAATCACTTATCCCTCATGAGGATAATGATTATGGTCAGAGAGGATTTTGGTTTTTTAACTTATTAATGATCTAGTCAATTGGAGGTGAAAAGACATATACAGTATGTGCTGAATAAATTACTGACTTTTATTTCTTTAAGCTAGAATACAAAAAACAAAAATTTCACACGTGGGCTAGCTGGAAATTGTCAGCATGTTAAAAGAAGAAATGAAGTAATGTTGCAGTTATGATATTATTTGAAAAACTGAGGTGCAATCTTGTCTGAAATATAGTATATTGTCTTTTTAAGGCCTCATCTGGTCTCTGTTTTAATAATTACTTTGTCAGAAGATCTTGGAAAAGTATCCATGTCTTCTCAAAAGTATCTGAATCAAAATCATATTTTTATTTAAAGTTCTATTGTTACAGAAAACATTTTATTTTGAAACTGTTGATAGACTGATATTTCTTGGAAGAAAAATAGAAGATATCAAACACTGGTTATCACTTGTGATAGGAAAAAAAACTTCAATTCTGTTATTTCTCTTTAGAAATGTAAACCTACAATATATGTCGTAGTTAATGACACTATTTCAAAATTAAGGAAAACTCACTCATGGATGCTGTGCATCATTATCAGATTTATAATTGTTTTCACCCTAAAATAGGGCATTTGTTGAACTTTGGAGTTCTAAACGGAATCCTGTACATTTTTTAAAGTTCTGCCCCATGCTTTCCAATCAAGCTATATATGTTGCACATTATGCTGTCAGCAGTATATAGTATTTTCAGTATTGGGGAGGAGGATTAGTGCTGAAAAAAGCCTGTATGTTTGTTCTGTACTAGCAGCCATTGCTTCTTTAAGGACAAATCAGCAATGTCTTAATACAGTGATGGTGGCTTGCATGCGTATATGTGCCTTAGATGTGCTGTGCTGCTTATAAATCATAGCTTTTTATTCAGATTAATTCTGATATATAAAATGGTAGTTTAATTGGACGTCAGGCATAATGTTTAGCCGTGTCTTCAGAGCTCTTAGGTACCTTGTGATGTACAAAATAGAAGCCAAAGCCCATTTCTTTGGCTTCTGGAGCTTCTGTGACTTGGCCATGGTGGAGTCCGTCTTATTCAGGTGCCAAAACGTTATGCTCAGTGCTCCTATGGAGCTTGGACTAGACAGTCTCCATGGCCCCTGTGAAGTCAGGCGACATTTTTCCTCTAATGCCTGTGGTTGTAAGGTGGCATTACTTGAAACGGACCCATCTAAGAACTCTGTGGGGCTGTGAATATATATGCTCATGACAGCTTTTCATAGCAGACAAGCATCCTAACAGGGAATGCATGGGCTTCTTTCTTAAAACAGCCTGAACTGTAGTAGAAAGCATTTGCTAGCCCTGAAACATGCTGATTGCAACCTGCTGTGTTCATCTGCTTCTATTTAATAGCCTGTGACAAGCAAGTCTAGAGACATAGCCTGACTGTGGTGCTCTTTAAAATCCAAGAACTGCTTTAGCAGAGCAGACTTGCACCATTGTGGTTTTAGCCTATGAGGACTTAAAAGAAAACGTCGCATCTCAGCCTTTAAAGTCAGGATGTGTCAGTTTTCTGCTTTTTGAGGCATAGTCACAATTTTTGCAGTTGAATTCATGCCTTTGTATTTCAGCTTGTCTTTGCCGTTGTCTTTTTTGGCTGTGCCTTCACACACAGTGCCTGCAAGAAGTATTTATGAATATACAATGCATGCTAAGTGGTCTTCATGGGTTTTCCAGGCACCTGCTAGAATACTGCCTGCTGCTGTCTGTCGCAACCGGCAGCAGCAACTTGTCTTCCTTTTCTTGCCTTCCATTGTCCAGGTACTGTACTCCCTTTATGGTACATTGCTGTCAACAGGTGCAAGCTCAAATATGGAGGCGTGTGCTAGCATTTAATTTCTAGCACAGAAGGAGGATGTTCTGCACAAGAGATAAATATCTATAGATATACCCGCATCTATATCTCTAGATATGATTGTATGGCACTTGCAGTTTTATGCAGGCTGCATAAGCAAACCCATCACTTATGCTTTAGGGCGAAGGTTCGTCCAACTTGTGTCATTTTAATAATTGTGAATGTAGGCAGCTGAGCTTTTGTGTTTGTGCATCACAGAATTTTACTGAAAACAGGATTCCCAAGTGGAAATGTCCAAAGGACTCTCCTCCCATTGCTAATGCATGTCTTGTAAACTTAAATGAAACCGTTTGGCCATCTCAAAACAGTTTATATCCTGTTTCAATCTGGGACTTGGAGGAGATTTCTAGAACAAGCAGGGCCAGCATATTCTGCAGATTTGTGACTACAGTTTCCAACTCCTGTGACAGAATTGCGCTTCTAAATCCAGGCTCTTTAAAAGAGGAGGAAAAAAGTGTTTCCAGCCTTTGTGATTGAAAGAGGACTTCGAAACATACGAAAAGTGTAAACTGTTAGGGAAGTCTTCCTGAGTCTGCACACAGCCTAAACTAGTAGCTTTAAGAGATCTGAATATCTCCTCTTAGTTGGGATATTGACTCAGAAACTTCATAGAGAAGTTTAAATATGAACACTGCTAACTATATTAATGCCGATCACTGTAGCAGAAACATCAGTCACTGTTGTATTTCACAGATCTCTATGCTGCTTTCCACATCTCCCAAGTGCCAAAAGCACCAGCTGCCAGAATCTTCAGCTTCACTTGGGCAGCTTTTATAATGCAGTAATGTGCTATCGATATAAAAATATTTTTGCATATGTGCTTTTTATCACAGTTAATAAAATGGAGGCCTACTGCACTTATTTTTTAAAACTACATGAAGCTGCCAGAGAATTTCCAGTTTGCCAGCCCTGCGTACTGTGAAATCCAGGATCTTGCTACACAAATGTAGACACCGCCTGCTGTGGAATACCTGAAGCCTTGACTGTAACACTCCTTTCTCCGCAGAACTCACGGGCCATCTCTGTAGAGTTCTTACTGTGTACATAGAAATCGGTTTCCTTTGCTTTCCAGCAAGGAGTATGTAGCATTTTGTGAAAACAAGGCCACAAAAAGATACCTGGTGCTTTACTCAATACTTCAAATTATTTAACTTTTCCTCTCATCATTGAAATGCCCTTTGTCTTTTTCTTTCTGTATGTTCCTGACTGAGAGATCCAAAGTTTTCTAGGGACTGTCTGTTCAAAGTGATTCATGGGGCCACAGTCTGCCCCCACATGTACTCTTGAATCCCAGCTAACTCCTGTGGTGTGTGTTATTGCAAGGGGGTCCCAGAGTATTTGCATTACTTTGAACAGAGTTTCTTCAACAGAACCTTTTTATCCTCTGCTTAGTAATTCTTAGCAATGCACAACTGAAATCTCTTGCTGGTATTGTTTCTTAACGATGACACTCTGAGTTACATACAAGCCTCTTCCGTTTCCAGCTTTCTCTAGGGAGATTCCAGTGTGTGACAATCTGGATGTTGCCCTTGTTTTACGCTCTCCAGCACAGGATGAGTGCATATGTTACCTAGAAAGTCTTGAATTCTAAACAGGATGAAACTATTTGGGTGTTTAAAGACCAACCTGCAATTATGATGCATGACCATGTCTGCATTACTTCTCTAATCTAATTAAAGGGGTCTTGTTTCAGTTACTATCTACATGGTACACCTTCAGCTGCTGACTTAAAATATGCAATGTTGATTTCAGCCTTGTACTGTAAATGTTCTTCACAAAGAGAATGTGCAATAGGAAAATGGGATGATTGGTGGCATAATTTTGACAGAAAAATGTGGTAACATGCTAGCTTTCTTATGAAATACGGTTTATTTCCTTTCCTGTGGGTTTTTCCTACTTGGAAAAGGAACATTGAAGATATGTGCCTGATTCTGTGCCTGGTGAATTTCTCAAATGCAAAGGTAATAGAGATTTGTGTTAGTTGTAATTTAAATGTTGAACCCACGGATGTTAGGTTGTGACTGTATCGCTCATGTTTCTCAGTGTGCCACAATTACGGCTTGTTGAGATGGAGTTTAAAAGCTACCACCTATTTGTATCTGTATTCCATCATGTGGGATAGGCATTTCACCAACAATGCAGGGTTTCTGTTTTCTTTCATTTTTAAAACACTGGTGCTGCTTAGTCTAAGACAGAGAAGTGTGTAGAAAGTGACAAGAAAAGTTGCCTGCACCACATGAGAGTGAAAAATGTGACTGCAGAATTGATGCCTTGATATGATTTAACTATGCAAATATACAAATAGGTGAAGGGGGAAAATTCTTGGGTTGCATACCTAATCTCTTAGGTTTTGCTCTGTAGATTACTCGTATATGTGTAGGTACATACATAATACACATAGACATGCATGCACATATATATGCAAATTCTTTTCTTTGTGTAGAAGTGATGAAACAAAACCCTTTCCTCCACATTATACTTGATTGATTGGTGCAAATATAACTTGCTGCTGCTAAGGGAGGATCTTGGCTAAGGGCAAACTTTGGATTTGCATCTTCCAGGTTTGAAGACCTGTATAATAGCAAACAAAGAGTTTGTTTAACCTTTCTGAAGACCTTGGAATGTAATCTAGGGCACATGTCCTTCCTCATACTCCTCTAATTTGGAGCTTCCTGTATCTTAAACAAACGTAGCGATGGGCAACTTGTTAACTGCAAATTCTTTCCTTTAATTTGGGAACAAAAGATAATAAAAAGCAGCTGGACCTCTTCCTGGAATTGCTATCCTGTTCAGTCAATACCTCTATATTCTGGTTGACCTAGAAATCATAGCTACTGCAATAAAAACAATTGGTTTGGGAACTGAGTCTGAGAATTGGTTTTAGTGCTCTGTACAGCATAGGAAGCACTTTGCATTTGCAAAGATGTTCTTCTTATAGCAAATGCTGTTTGTCTTTTCTGGAAAAAGGAAATCAAGGATTAGTTGTGAAGTGACATGCCCAGAGTCACAAAAGGAATTTCCTGGAGCCGGGACTGAATGAGAGGTTCCACTTCCCTAGTGTTAGCTTCCAATCACTAGGTTTTACTCTTCTAATACATTTGTCCCATAAAGGAACTGAAAAACAAGTTTACATACCTTAAAGACCCACATCAGGACAGAAAGGGCTAGAATTAAACATACAAGCTGTCATGATTTGGGGTTGTACGTGTATGGTAGCCCAGACGTTGCTCACTACTTGGCGGTGCTTTGCACAGCTTGCAGAGTGGAAGGCCAGCACAATGTGTCAATAGCAGCAAATGTCCTGCTTTATTTGTTTAGAATTACCTAACAAAGTAAGTCTCATTTGATGCTCCTCTTAAAAT